AGTACGTGTCCCATCTTTGAAACCAAACAAAGACAACACCATCAACTGTGATGATGATGTGTAGCGTTTATCTCTAAGCGCGAAGCACATCACCGACCCTGTCTCTCATGGTAACTGGTTAGTGACGATTGATGACCGTTCCTCTCCCCGTAGTGGGTAGTTTGAGGAGGTGATCGCATTCAGAGCGGTTGAAGGGACATTAAACAGAAATGAAACTGAATGGGGGAGGGTGAGGCAGAATAGCAGTGCACACCCTTGTTAGGATATCCTTTCTAAACTGTCTCAACAATTTATCAATTTCAGTTCACCAGCGAGGATTAATTAACCATTTTAGCTCCAAAGTCAACACAGATTCTTTTCATTGAGTCTGCGTGCATTTCCCTATGACAGCAATTAACTGAGAGAATCATTGTTGAAGGTTGCAGCCATTACTCTTTACTAATCATGATCAGTTCCTTCTTTCTCAAGACCTCTACCTGCCGAGATGTAATAGTGTTGTGAGGAGAATTTTAAGCTGATCTCTTACGAGCTTCAAAGGATGACAACCCGATTTGATTTGTACTAAAGTCTTCTGTTAAACGCTGATTTTTTTTCCTTCTTTTTTTATCGAAGTTGTGTCATCCTCAGGCATAATTCAATACACGTAGCAAAAAAGGATATCATTAACACTATGAAAAGAAACTCCTTAATTCGTCGTGATCCAGTCTCTGTCATAAAAACAAAGTAAGCTACATTAAAAACACAAAATCTACTGCTTTAGAAGAAATAAATAAATAAATAAAACATGACTGATCAGAAGCCGCGTGTTGTTATTCAAACTCAATACAAAGCAATTGTGATCATGAATTTTAATAATTTTCATTTACTGATTTCGTGCATAATTCATAAGCTACGAATTGCTCTGGGGTCTTCATTTGACGGTCGCTCGGCTGATTTATGTTCCTTTTACTGTATCGACAACACTTTGCGGGAATAAATCGAAATTCCTGTTAAAGCTACATCGCCACAAAGCTAAGTTGGATACTTCGCCAAGGGCTGCAGCGAGGATAATTTCTAAGTTAGTGATTACAATCATGGATAATCTCCTGTTTGACTACGATCACCCGACTCTTCGAGTTCTCTTCGTTTCGACGATAATCATACTGGGACTGTTGATTATAAACGATTTGGTTCCTTGGGGTCCGCTGGGCCGTCGTACAAGACACAGGGAAAGCAACCTTGTTCTGATCATTCTCGCAATACTCGCGTTGGCAGTCGAGTGGACAGTTTACATGTTTTTGTAAGTCAAAACAAATGAAGCTTATGGAACTGTAGCCTTCGATCGAACATCAATCGCCTAACGGCCACTCAGATTCGATTTTCTGTTTTTTGAGAGAGCTCCCTACATTTCTGCGATACCAGCTCATATTTGCCCTCGCGGAGCATTACGACAGATTCAGAATTTCCGATTGATGTTACATTCAAGTGAACGAAGGGAAAGTAAGCTGATATTTTAATTTAATTTAGCGATGTTCTCTAGGACGTGGAATGATTCGACATTTATAATCCCAACTGAACAGAAACGGTATGAATTGCAGAGACTGAGACATAAAAAAGAACCAAAGATCGGATAAGAAATAGAGATGGTTGCCAGCTGAATTGACCATGTGGACGATTTGAATATTTAAATGCTGTCATGTTTCGTCACATTTGACTTGCAAATAAAGAACTGAACTCAAACATAGTGAAATCACGCGGCTCCGTCTAAGGGAGTATTGACATTGCACCTGGGTGACTTTTCAACCATCCTAACGGAGCGATTTCATCCAGGTTGCCTCTTGTGGCTTTGCAATTCTTTACATGCATGGCATCTTAAAAAAATCTTAAACTGCTATGAGTCATTCTTCCTGTGTTCTAAGCAAGGATGTCATTCCGCAATGAAATCTCACAACAGCACCATGTAATACAGTAATTACAAATGATTTGAACTCAGAGGTAAAATTTGATCGCGTAGTCCTGGGTATGGTATGTTACCGTAGAAACTCAGTACCATACGAACACCATATGAACAACTTCTTCACGACATTTACGCTTCAAAAGAACCAAGCAAAATGACCCAACAAATTTCAACAAAATTTAATGTTCCTCAGAACGATAAGACATGATGAGTCATATGATATTTTGTGGACAATTCAACAATATTTTTTATAAATCAACAAAGGGGGGAAAGTGTCCGTAAAGAGACTGTGGTGCTGCGTCGGTGGGAGATATAACAGGGTAATTTGGTATTATCAACTGAGTTGATAACGTAAAATTGGCCACCGTAAAGAGTTCCAAAGCTGACGTTTCGAGTTTGAGCCCTTCGTCATTTGTTCTGACGAATGGCTAATGCTCGAAACGTCAGCTTTGTAACTGTCTGTTTACGGTGGCCAATTTAACGTTATCAACTCAGTCGATAATACCAAATAACCTTGTAACATTTTTCATATCCATTATTTTTTTCCTTTTCTTTTAAATTTTCGGAGCACTCCTGGTAGTCGAGATTTTCTTTTTGTGGGCTGTGAGTCACATTTACCGTTTGTTCTCCAATAGAGATATTCAAGGGGCAACCCACTCAATGTAGATGTCTCCTCTGGGAACAAGAATGGGTCGCTTGAAGTATACTGGCTACTTGCTCTCGTGACAACTACGTTGTTTACCTGCATGTAAAGATCACGATTGAATATTGGATCACTTTCTCCAGGTCTGTGAGATCCAACAGGTTCTTTTTTGTTTGTAGTGGACGAATTTTTCACTGATTTTCTTCGACAACATTTTCCTGAATTTACGCCTTGAAGTTTACGTTCTACATCGATATTGCCGGCCAAGTTTTTCCGCGCCTCTGACTCATTTTCATTACGACAACATGGCGCATTATCTGGTGTCGTTTGAGTGCCTCTGAATGAAATTCTTTGTCTGAAAGCTTTCCATGTAGCGATAATCTTGGACGAAAAAGACGAATTAAATGCGATTTCCTGGGTATTAGTCGTATTATCATCGTTGACACAGTTATCGACTCCCATCCGAGTTGTTTTCCTCATAAAATTTTCATTCAGCCGAGCACATGATGCGAAGCTCTGTAAAGCCTGAGCGCTAGTTTGTTTTTGTAACAAACTGTCTTTGGTCTCGGAGAAAGCTAAGACAATATGATCATTTGAGGTTTCATCCGGCTGGCCTTCGGAAATCTCAATAATGGGACATAGCCCCCTAGCACAACTGGCCCTAGAGGGTCCTTGCCTGGCCGAGGGTAAAACTGCGGGCGCGATTTTCTTTCTTCTGAACCAATACTTGATTCCGCGGTTCCTAACTCCATTTACATCATAATGCTTTTGTCTTGGGCCCTCACTGTGAGACATACATTGAGGTTTCCGGCGAATTTCCTCATCTTCGACTGCAATCGTATCAAGTTGTTGGACTCGCGTTTCATGTTCATGATTTTGAAGACCAAAGGCTTCCTTTAACCCGCACGTGATAAAACACAAGAAATAGTAGAGCTTTGATGAAAGCATGTTGTAAATACCTCTCAGTTTCTTCTGATAAATCTCAGGTGCAGGTATTTTCTATCAAATGCGGCAATGGCTTCATTACATAGGTCATAATAAGGCTTACGTCACCATTCTTTCCGCGCGCAAAAGATTAGAGCCACGTGACTCATCTCCTTTATTCGTTGTTCTTTCTTCTTTTTTCGTTTTTTGTTTTGTTCGTTCGTTTTTTTTTTTTTTTAAAGAAGCCTAAGGAGCTTATGCTTTTGCTACGAATCCAGTTTGAAATGTAAGGTTAATCAAAATAGAGACAACATCCGAAGTAAGTGATGGGTATTATGTCAAAAAGAAATGTGCTAAGCATTATTCACAATACGTTTATCGAGAGCAATAGATTATAATCTCTTCTCGAGAGTGATGTCTTAAACTGCCGTAGTAATCAAGCAATAGTAAAGGTCAAAAAGGCTTCACCAATTTTTCTGACTTTCCCGGAGCGGTTGGGTTGAAAAAGTTGTTTACTTGATTAATAGCTATCAAACCAGTTAGGAAAAAATGAAAAACGGATGTAATCCAAGCGGATGTCGCCACTTTGCATACGGTGATGAGCGCGCTCGAGAGAGAATTACCCTCCCGACGGCACATAATTTCTATCTCCGCCGCGAAAACTTGTACCAAAAAATTTACTTCTAATCGCGTTGAAGAGATTTCTAAGAGTGCTCAACTTTTACCTGTCAGGTAAGTAAACTAGCGCGTACTCTGTCGAGAAAATGCGTTTAGTTGCAGGACGGTACAGTGGTGTGACAACCTTATCCTGGCAAGAGACATCTTGTTGCCATTAGGGATAACTCCCCTTGTTAAAAAAGGGGATTACGACATTTTCGCCACCAGTAAGCTACCAGCTTACTGGCCAGACATACAAAAGTTACACCATTCGAAAATTACATCGATGACCACAGTTTCCATCTGATAAGTCCAAAACCTCCATCCATTCATAAACATCGACGAAAAATTGCATTAAAATCCTAAATTTTTTTCTTAGCTCCTCCCTCTGTCATGAAGTTTTAGCCTTCGATCGATAAACAATTTTTCCTCTGTTTAGATTTTGATCAGCCCTTATTATTTTGGATACCATCAAATTTTTCTGTTTTTCTTTATTTGTATACTCGATAACTGGCCCGGGGCAGGAGGCCATTAATAGGCTCCTGCCCGGTGGCGTAACGGGAGAAGAACGTCCTCATGACTAACCAATCAGAGCGTGCGCAATATTAGCCCCAGTGCTGAGCCAAGGAGTAAAATTAAATACAAAAAAGAAGTCAGTGATCTAGCTCTGATTAATAAACAGAAGTAAGCATTTGACGCGGAAGTATGTTCTGTCCGTGGACGTTATCTAATCCACGAAGTGAGGAGTTTAACCAAAGCGATCGCATGTCACTACTGAACGTTATACTGTAAAGGAAACTTACATCGGTATCAAATTGATCACCTTTTATTAAATTAGTTAAGAAGTTTTCTTTGGCCAGGTAGCTGTTGCAGCCGTGCAAATTCAATTTAAATTAAGAAAAAATTAACAATATTCTTCTAGCTGGGGCGCGTATTTTATCTCTGATCATATATATGTCTAGATAAATATTTACACATAATTTCATAATTGAATTTGCATTGACCTAAATAATCGAAAAACCATATCAAATAATATCGAATAATCATTTATCCAAGGGCTATTTTGTTCTTTGCAATAAGTTTTAAATTTAAGTTGTCGTTCTGGAGGTATATTTATTCTTAGGCGAGCCCAACAACAAGCAGAAAACGTATTCATTTTGCAATCAACCTTCCGCAGGAGCCCATGGGCTTCTGCCTTCCGTTACCATTTCGGTAATTTACAAAAAGGAAGACTTCATATCACTTAGTAGCGACCACGGAGCCAAGAATTGTCATAAGTGTTGTCAGTGTTTTTCTTTAACGCTACCCGTGTTCTCTTAGCAACACGAATGGTCTCCATCTTTGATATTTGATAACGCGGTAAACAAATCTTTCCATACTCGACGCAAACAAATCCATGTGGACAACAGGTTCTTTTATTCGGGCAACAAACAGCCTTTGGTAAAGGACAACATCCATACGGCACTCCAAGAGCAAGACAACATGTTTGATTATCACGACAATATTGCTTATCGGAACATTTAATTGTCTGGATATCTACTACCTGAGATGTCTGAAATCAAGATACAAACAACTGGTAATTTACATGTTAGCTGGATCATATCCGTATTTTAATTGGCTCGAACTTATGATCTATTGGAAGACAGACACATAGATGACGTCAAAAATTGGCTTTTTTATCATTTGAAACAAATAGATTCCATGTTTGCGAGGATCTGTACAGTGATAGACCGCACAGGGCGTAAACATGTGATAAGAACATCAGTGACACACTCTGCTGGTCTTCCTGTGCCACTGTTTTGTTCTTACAACTTTTTAACGTTATTGGTGATCTATTGCTGAACAGACCCACGGCAATATGCAATCTATTTGTTAAATAGAACTTAGTAAACAAAATCAAGGGAAACGAAAAATCTGGGGTTACAAATAAAAGTTATCAGAAAACCGTTTCATTAATGTAAAACTCAACGACAGAAAATTGTAATAGACAGACATTAAAGGATCAGTCATTTATCGCGGGAAGGGAGGGAGGAGGGGGTGGAGGATTTTGATTGTGTTACAATAGACTAAAAATTGACCTGATCCTCCCAAAAGACTCTGCAGTATTTTTATGACCCCCGCCTTTAATCAATTCACTGGCAGATAATTGGCAGTTAAGTTTCTATAGCCCTTCCTTTATACTTTGTTAACGACGACTGATCCTCTCTCGTTTCTCCATAAAAACTGTAAAAAAATCCATTTATGAAAAATGAGGTTTGAGTCCAAACTCCGCAGAAAATGTATTAAATGTGTGAGATGAAACACAAGATTTGGCTAAAAAAAACTTCGAAACAAAGGGGTAACAAAAACAAAAACAACCATCAAAAGTACGCAAAAAATGTCCACGTTACTTTTCCAGTGTGAAGGTTAGAGTTCTTTGACGAATACAAAGAATACAAATGAAGAAGAGGAAGAGAAAAATTGTAATTTGAAATTTAAAAACGAAAGAGATTTTCTACAAAAACCATGTGATCCCCAAAACATACTCCCCTCCCCTACCCCGGCGAAAATATCATGACTGGGTTCTAAGTATCTTACATGAGGAGCAAATTTAAAACAGTGATTTTTATTTTATTATAGTTATATTCAACAACGCAGATGCCGATTGATTTAATCAACATATACTGTTAAAATGATAACACAAAATCGTTTGCAAACCTACGGATGTAAATCTTGATGGCATCTTCAGGAGTGAATGTGTCTTCGATTCCTCGGCATGTGAAAAAGTCACAAAACTGCACAACACCGCTGAAATAACGTACCACTTCATCTGCTCATTAAAGAAAAGGAAGTAAACTCAGAAAGTTACGAATTCAGCTTACTCTCCTGCCGAGAGATCATAAGGGGACAGAGGAGACTTCTGGTCCAGGCCTTGGGATATGTCAATTTTACTTAAGTTGTTTATGGATAGTCGTAGCTGGACCACCCTTTGCGTGTGATGATATGTGAGACTAACTATTGACAATCAATAACGTTTAAGAAATTTGTCCAAAACAACCAAAATTACTAATCCGTTTTTTCTTGTACAACCCTCATTAAATAAAATAAAATATTCCATTTTCTGATCCGTATGCTGCGAGGCGTGAGTCACGTTTCGCTGAATCCGAAACGAGTGTTATGATTTTGTTTTCATGCACATGTCATGCATCGATTTTCGTTTCGCATATGGCCTTATGGCATCCGTCCTCTTTCAGTGAGCTTTGGTCGCCTGTGAGTTAGATTGATGTATTGGGGAACAGCTATGATATTTTTTTCCTATTAATATCAAACTGACTTCGGCAAAAAGAAACTACTTTAGGAAACCAGGATGCTTTCCATCTCAAGCTAAAAATAACTTAACTGAAATCGACAAATCCTGGCCAACGCCCTTTTTTTCCGTCTCTGTTCCCCTATAACCTCTTGCTCATACACAATAATGCTTACAAATGCGCAATCACTGTCCTCCTACGAAAGATCTTAATAAATACTATTCCTAAATCCAAGTGTAGACGTCAGGGTCCACAAGAAAATTTTAATGAGAATCAATTCAAGATTTTTTAGGAAAGAAGTTAAAAAGAACTTGAAAAAAGTGCTCTGGATTTCGTTTTGTATCAAAGTAAACTGATGTGGTGACCCTGACAAAGTCCTAAAAGCTATGTGATCGTGCTATCTTAAAATGCTCGTAGCGGTTTCCATCCACGAATATATATGACTCCTATCATTCTGTTACTCAAGCCCAAAATAAATCGAAAAAATTGTAGTTTTAGTTAGATCCTTTATCCCAATAACATATCATGAATTTTTCAAATTGTAAAATCCAACCCTTTTCTAAAATCAAAAAAGTAAAATGACTTACATTACCACTCTGCTGCTTTCTCCCACGGTGGTTACACTAATACTAATTTTGAATACTATCTGTGGAGAGAAAACACCTATATTATCTATATTTGTAATGAGACTCATGATTCCTCGTGACAATAAGATGACCAGGTGCACGTGCCCCTCATCCATTTCGAATGGATGAAATCATCAGTTAAATTAGACCAAAACCTAATGCGTTTTATTTGTCTCGTACCCTCGTGACTCTGACGGTGAAAATGTAGCCTTGAAATTTCGGTTGTCTTGTACCTTTAGTACATGTATACATCAAAATACAAAAGTTAATGACCAGAGCATATACGGGCCAAATGTCTACGCAAGTAACAAAGTAAAAGTTAGGTACCTGCCCGACAATTTCGTGGTGGTTTCGTTGAGTCCCTTCATGTTGCTTCCAGCTGCTGCATCTTCTACTTCCTCTGCTAGTCTTTCTACGTAGCTGCGTTTTTCCGGCATGACACTTGTCTTTACTTCTTTGTTGATCGCGGTGTATTCTTGGAAAGATGCCACCTCCAATGACTATGTTGTGAAGAGCACAGGTGTCAGAAAATATCAGTTTCCCCGCTTTCATTTATTTTTCCAAGTCCATGTGTTCCCATCGTTTCTGTGAAGCTAGTACTGCCTGCCCCAATCTTTGCATTGAAGTCTCCCATGACTATGTTGACATCCTTTTGACATCCGATGCACTCTAGCCTGTTGTGAAACTGGTCTTTACTTCCTTCTTCGCTATCGTCTATCGTTGGTTGGTGCATAGCACTGCACGACATTCATCTTGATCTGGCTCATCCCGGTTCTGAAGGATGCTGATGGGTGCTCTTTGTGATGACGTTAGTCTTTTCTGTCAGGACTGCTTCCAGTGGGTTTCGCTAATTCCTAAAACAGAAAGCTGACATTCTTTCATCTTTACTGCAACCTGTGCGGTCTTCCCCACCTACATGGTTTTTACGTTCGATGTACTAATCTTTATGGCCCTGTTTGAGAGAAAGAGCGCCGGCCCTACGGCTTCCGTGAAATTACGGCTTTCACCACATGGCTTCATATGTCTTCTTTATGAAGGTACTTCCTCTTCCAGGGACGAAGTTTGAACCTGTATTGACGTTTCTGTAGCAGTATGGTTTTTCCCAGGGTGGGGTTGCTGACCCCACACCTAACCGGCAAGTGGCTCAAAAGAGCCACTAGGTGGATCCTAAAATAAGTCAATTGTCTGTGAACTCATTCCACGCGCGAAAGAAGACACTTGGTTTGCGGGACATGATTCTGCGGGACCTGAACTAAAGGTCTTTGTTTCGGTATCAAGAAGAAAAATTTCACCTTATTAGCTAAACAACAAGGCATAACAGTCTGAGAGGAACGCGTGACAAACCAATTGAAATATCACAGGGATCCCTAGGTAGCCTACGTGTAGTCGTACCCTCCCCCTCCCCTAAGGTGGGGGAGGGGAGGGGGGTACAGCTACACGCAAGGTACGGCTAAGCACGGATCATCGCCAGAGTTTCTTTATCAACGCCACCTCGAAGTTAGTGACCAAGTTAGAGGCCACACGTGATTGATTGATTCAACACTCCAATAGAATCTCCAAACTTTCAGGTCTTAGTTCGCAAATGGAAATGTTAGATCAGGGATTTTCGGTGAAACTTTCCAGAGCTCTAGCTTTTTGCGACCGCAAAATTGCAATCCTATCGAGGACGTTTGTGCGAATTTCCTTAATTTCATTAGGCTTCATTACCAGCTGCTGAGTCCGCAGAGACCACACTCGAGGTCCTCGAGAGCTGTTAATTTAAGGAGATACTAGAAGATGCGAATGCCAAGTCCGTGGTATTCATAAATCCTGTCATGAAATTAATGTAGTTTACTCTGTATGCTCCACTTGTCACCACCGTATCGGATCGATAACAGTTTTAATAACTGGGATATGAAAAGTTATCGATTTTGTCATTTTTACATGCGGTTTTCGGTTTTGATCGAATTTTTTTCGGTTTTTCGGTTTTGGATAATTTTTTTCTACGGTTTTGCGGTTTCTAATGGGCCCCAAAGCCTCCCTCTTGTATCAAAGTAGATGAAACAAGGGCAGTCTAAGACTTTCATATCCACCTCCAATTCGCCAGTCTGTGGCTCCAATGCAATTAGCTGAGGTCTTTTTTAACATCTCAGCTACGTCAAATGCCATTTCCTTTAAAGGCGTCTGGCAGTGGATTGTCCCCTTTAGGGGCAACCAGCCGAAAATCAAATCCTTACTTTCTGGTCACAAATGACCACAGAGTGTCGTGATGACAACGTTGCTTCATAGAGGCAATATGGAGCGCCACCTTGGAGTACGACGAAGAATCCTTGGTAGTCTCCTTCAAATAAAGTGAAGTGAAATATCTCGCCATTGGTTCTCTTACATATTTTCAGAAGTTTTTAATTTTCGTTGCCATTGAAGCGATTGTCATCTCAGATATCATCAATCACTTCGGCCTCTATCACTTATCGGTAATCTTTTTTGAAAACGAAAATCTGATCATTTCGAGGCAAATCGACAGAGTTATAGTTTTGAATACATCCCTTGCAGTAGGGAAGTGAACTTGTAGGTTTTAAAGCTGCCCCTTTTCGAGATAAATTATAAGAAAGTTTACTTACCTTTGGACGCTGCTGCTTTTCCGCAGCTTAGAAAACAACACCTGCGTCATTGGCTGAACGAAAACTCGTGACTCCTCGTGACAATGAGGTGACTGGGCTCTCGTGATTATCAGTCATAGATTAGATTTATTTCGTTCTTGTTCATTCGTCATTGCAATGTCAGGGGAAAAAAGGGGCCAATTTTCGTATTTTCCGACTTGAAAACAGAATAGCTACCATCAGAGATGTGTAGTAATTTGTTGATTTCTTTATTCATATGTTCATGTATGTATCATGTCTATTATTAAATTTATTTTGATATTTATGGGTCGCTTTATGAGAGTTTACTGACTGTTACGTGGTCTCGAAAAAGGACTGGACACAAAGTTAGTTTTAAGGAGATGAGCAAGAAGTCGGCCTGTTCGCTTCCTTTGCCAGGAACTTCTCGAGGTATTGCCCACGCAAGATGACAAAAATAGAACCTTACAACATCACCCTGAATCCCACATTAAGGTTTCGAAAATAAAGAAAATGGTCACCAACTAAAGAAGCACTTGATTTTAAACAAATTCTCCTTGTAAGCACCTTAGGAAATGTGTAGAGAACAGTATGGAGAATATGCATACTGATGTTAGGGTGTAAAGGGTCGACAGGGGGCCAACTTAATTTACACAATTCATGATTAAACTAGTATTAAACCTCAAAAGCGTTACATGTCATGCCCGGCCCCATGCCCGGCCCCATGCCCGGCTATACTAGAACTAATTTTATCCAATTACTGGTGTATTAAGATAGGATATTGAGCTTAAAATTTGTATGGCAAGTGCAGAAAACTGTTTGTAGGGCTAGTAAAATCTTGGGAAATCAAAAATTACAGCAGTGCGGAGAATTTTTAAACTCGTCATCGATTTATTTTTGGCGCATCAGATCATGCTTTTTGCATGAGACGAATTAAGTCTTTCGAAAAAGACAAAAAACTAACCAAGAAGAGAAGGCACTTCACAAAATAGACAATGTAGTTCCTCGAAGAGGATAATTGTCTTATTTGTTAACAACTGAGCTGAAAATGTAAATTAGCCACCGTAAAGAGTTTTAAGGCTGACTTTTCGAGCGTTAGCCCTTCGTCAGAGCGATCGGAGGAATTGTGGGTTGTGTGTGGGTTTACATGCAGAAAATGGACCTACTTCTCGTCACCATATTCCCACCAATAGAGCAGTTCCATTTTCTGCATATAAACCCATCAACAACCCACAATTCCTCCAATCGCTCTGACGAAGGGTTAACCGGCTCGCAACGTCAGCCTTTAAACTCTTTGCGATGGCTAATTTACGTTTTCAGCTCAGTTGTTAACACTAAATTACAATGTATAACCTAATCTGAGTGCAACGATAGAAAAAATTTGCCTTTGGGCGCTTGAATTACAGGTTACGTATTTACTTTGACTGTTGCGTATAGAGAAAGGACTTCTTCATGAGTTGCTGCTTTTAAATTACACCTTCCTTGGCTGTATTGCAACGACACAAATAAAACAAAAATTAGGTAGCTGCACAGCACCAACCTTGAGTAATACAGCTCAGTCTACGATGACTTTAATGCTTCAAGACTGTAGTTAGACGCGTTCATGGTCCACCGAAATGACAGACGTTCGAGTCCTTTGAACCTCCAATCATGATAAGATTTAATACGTCGTGCAACTTTCTGTGCCTATTCAACAAGTATCTATTGTGACACTTCAGTAAAGCCTTGATTGCAACTCTGTTCACCTTGCTTTTATAACATTCCCGATAAACATCTGGTTTTGTATCATGGAGAATGGTGCATCAGAAAGACTACGGATGGTGGTAATGATGATGCTGCAAAAATGTGCTAGAGAGCGCTGCTGATTTAACAAATGTATCCTGAAATAGTATATTAGTCTCTTCTTTTAAGAAGAAAAACCTCAAAAGAATCATCAATTCAATTACCGTTCACAATGGAAATAAACTGTTGGATTCACAATTCAATCTGGACGAAGCCCAAGACGCAAAAGATGCATGTTGCAAGTGGTTTAATTCTCCTTCTTCAAACATTTTGTAGATTCTTGGCCTATGAGTGATGAATTAAATTGTACAATGAAAAGCCCCTCCAAGGATACATTCTAATCGTATTTCCTTATGCATTCGAGGATATTTTAGGGAAGTACTACAAACTTATTTTGTTACCATACCAAACCCTTTCAGAGGCGGTCTCCTCACGGGGATGGCTCTAACTTTCCCAAACAGTGACGTTCAGGGATTTGAACTTCCTTAAATGCAGCGCCTACATGATATGCATATATCTGTGAGTCAAGTACCCATCGTGTGGCTGGAGTGACGAAAGGGCTCGTCTATTCAAGAGATATATACCCTTGACTATTTTACCTCACGACTACATTAGTCTAGCTTTGGCTGTAATTCTTCTTTTCAGAGATATGTTTCAATCCATCGTAAGTTTCGACGTCTTTGTGGAAGTTCTGGTTCCAAACGTAGCAGTGAGTTTTGACTTGAAAGAAACCACACTGAGCATCTTTTCTCAGCTAAATAATCAGCCGATGGTCGCCTATCACTCAAGCTTTGTGGGCTGGATGCCGCACCGTGGGGACTTAGAGAGGGCCTCCTAATTCTTTGAAAGGTAATGAGTTCCTTAAACCCTCTTCGAAAGCGCGGATTTCGCGCGCCTATTATGATAGGATTACACACGCTATACAGAAATCCGCAGATGTAGGCGAAACGTAAAAAATGTTGTGGAATCTGACTGGCGTCTGCAAAAAGAGTCAAGATTCCGTACGCGAAAAATGGCGTCCAACAAGCAACGAATGCTGCTAAAACAAACAAAAGGGTGATAATAATCTTTTTCTGTGCTAAGATACCTCGATCATCGATGATAGCGGTGTCACGGATCCGTTTACAATGCAACTTCACCGCCTCTATAATCCTCCAATATAACAATATCATTGCTAAGATGGGAATTGTGTAGACCACGGATATCAGAAAGACCGTATGTGAAATGTCCAATGCACTGCGCGGAAATCGAGGACCACACATATTTGATGATGATTTGTACACGATTTCAGTCCATCCAAAAATGGGACCTATGGAACACGCTAGCGCCGAGACCCATACCACAAGAATGATCATCAGAGAGCGTCTTTGTGTTATTATCATTTTCAAAGGCTTAACAATAGAGAAGTACTTGTGTATACTTATGGCTGTAAGCGTGAAGATGGACGAAGCAAACCAGAAAGGTACCACGAACCCGTTGAACTGACACAGTGGCTTGCCAAACACCCAGCCGTGTTTGAGGAGCGCTACTATCATGAATGGTATGCAGAATAAACAAACTCCTATCCCTGTGATCGCAAGCTGCGTCAGAAAAAGGTTTGTCCGTGTCCGCATTTGGCGATTGGAGATAACAACGCCAACCACGAGGCCATTTCCGATCAAGCCAGCTACAAGAGTCAGGAACAAAATTGCTAGTTGAAAAAAGACGAGATTGTCATAATTCGCCTTTTCATCGTAGCTGTTGATAGTGGAATTGTTCTCTGCTATACTTGTTTGAACTGTCTTCTGCTGATTGAGGGATTTCGCTTCCATTATCACTCGATTCACAGCGTATCGTGCGATTCTCAAAAAACTTCGACGCTAATTGAATAGAAAAAGATCTATTATGATTTCTAAACTTAATGGCAAGGTGCGCTGATTACAAGAACCGAAATGTGAGGTAACGTGCGCAATACAAGTTTACGCTTGTCTGTGTAATCGCATTCAAACCATTTTATTTTCACAAAACAGAATCACTTAGAACGCCGGCTTGTTAAACAAACTTTTATCTTTTTGTGTACACACCGCCAGCTATTGACATGAGAATAAAAGAAGAACTGAAAGCAACGCGTTGAATGAGCAATTAGCACAATAAGGTCCTAACCTCCTCGGTCATTTGAAAGTGAATAATAGGAAAGACCTGAAAATAATTATCTTTTATCCATCTTATCAAGTAACATTATCGTTCAATAGCCAATATCGTTCAAAGATCTTCATTAAAGCAAGATTCAATAATTCGCATAGTTTTTTTTTTGTCTGCAACAGAATTAAACATATTATCATTAATTATCATACACTCAGCAACTGAGTATCTTTTGTTGATTAAAAAAATGTATATCATTCCAATATTACATACACTTCACCATGTAAGGGATATCGGAACGCGAAAAATATGCCTCGGTATTATACTGTAGAACAAGGCAAAAATACTGACGGAAGGCGGAGCAACAAAAAAGCCACACTAAATTGTCTCTGTATTTTATTCCATTTGTAGGCTTTTCTATTAAATAGGGCCGTCGGGTGTTTTTCGTTACTCATGAAAAACACTTCAATGTTGTCGCTGGTGTTGTTTTTGTTTTTCGCGCACGGCTTATGCGATCTTTAAGATGTTTAGGATGTATTTCGAAACGCAGAAGCCATTATACTGGAAAATAAAATAACAGTGAAACAATCAACTTCCTTTCAATCATTTCACATTTGATACGAGCAGAAATTTTGCTCATTGTTCGTTTTTTAACTCATCACTACTGGGCTCGGAAAATTACTACGCAACTCGCAAAATATCTGCGCGAATAATTCATTACATCATCGAATAAGGTGAAGATATTTCATTGTTACTGATTGGTCATTCGCTGTACAGATTTTCATTATCATCATCATTATTATTATCATCCTGGAGCCCCCGAGCTATAACCTCAAATATCACGTTACGCTTAGCAATATGAAATTCTTGATTCAGGCTGTTCAGAGACGTTTTTGACGGTTATGGTCGAATACACAGTTCCTTTGCTCATTCGTCATAAACAAAATGGTCGGAGGCCGCTTAGTGAAGAGTGCGCTGACGTAAAAAAAAAAAAAAGAAAGAAAAAAAAAAAAGAGCACGCGAGCGACGAGAGTGTTAAAAATCGAACGCACGTGCTTTCTACAGCTTTTGACGAGAACTGCTTTGTGTGACTCGTCATGCAGAGTCGATTGATCAATCACAGTTGGAAACAAATAGCTGATTGAATCGCTTTATTGATAAGTATGAAAAATATAAAAAAAGCTTTTTAGTCTTTAACCTCGCAGCTATTGTAAGAAGTTGGGTTAAAAATCAGGGTACAACGTTCAAAGTCTACGCGTGACACGCATGCGGCTCTATGTCACGCAAGTACCGTTGAATAGGTGCTTTACGTAAGCAACAGCTTTTGTGTCTGGTCTCAAAAAAAAAAATCCAGACAGTGTGTATTGAATTCGAAATGATTTCCAATTTCTTGCCTCGTGAGGACGGAATGCATCTGGGATATTCTCTGTGTGTGAGGATTGAATGATGGATTTTCTGTCGCTCTCGTTGGGTAAGTTCCTTGACCTTGCTTCGATTTTAAAATCTTTTCTCACGTGGCGTTTGAACTATATTGTAAGCCGGTAAATGGATGAAAAGCTGAGTCATGAAACTTCGCACAGTCGACAAAATTCGAAAGAATGATGTGATATTTTTAATGAATTTTGGTTCGTTATTTGCTTATTCTTATCATGAATAACGGTTTTGTCTTTAGATTGATATAATCTTTTCGCCTGAACTGAAAAGCAGTTATTTCTTCGTCGATTCGTTACGTAAGGAGCGTCTGATATTGAACCTTCAACCAACATTGGCAAGAGTTTATGAAGGACTTAGGCACTAGGCTTGTAAATAAGCTTATAGCGGAAACATTTTAGATTAAAATTCAACCATCTGGATCGATAATTTTTAAGCCAATTTACGATGCACGGCTGCGATACTTATTTCAGTGCCATTAACTAGCATTAGAGAAGCGAATTCGAAATAACTGTTACCTAATAAAATTGATTTAGCTGTACAGGAAAATTGAAATCATACGGTATATGTTTAACCCCTGAACACTCACCGAAGGTAAATTTATGCTCTCAAAATTTCTCTTCATCCGGCAAGCAGAATATTTTTTTAGTTTTCACGGTATTTGACTTTCTCGAAATGTTATGTAAAAATATGTTGTAGTTCCTGACTCTTCGAAGTCGGAAGTGTAAGATATACTAGATTCACAGACAGGATGGAGAGAGAATTTAATGTATCGTGTTTTAACCGACGTCGAAGCTTTACAATCGTTTGCATAAATGCCACGTTTCGATGTTGCAACTTGTAAGAAACTTAGAAATGACGTCCTGCTAAGCAATTCTTCAAGTCTAATTCCATACTGTGATGTCGAAACCACGATCCATCTTATAGCTGTTGGTTTAAGACAGTTGTTTGAGACCCGTATATTATAACAAGCAATCGAATCCAATGAGAAGTTTCTCTTTGTAAACAACTCAGTATGGTAACTTTTTTCCCACACAGCAAACTATGAATACTCGAACTCACTGTTTATTTTACTGAATATCTACTTGCAAGTTCACAAAATAGGATTGCCAATACTCATTTAACGTAACTTCCTTGTTTAACCAGTATAGATATATTTTAAGCCAGCAATAAAGATATGCAAAATGAAACTTTTGCTAATTATTAATAACAATATACATTGACAAAAGCTAGCTCTCTCACTGAGCTCGCAACAACTTTTAACACAACAAGACAAGAACATTAACCATCATGACCATTCCAAGATGGCGGCTGAAAAACGAAATCACTTCATGTTCAAACCAAACAGGACAGCCATAGCAACACCCAAATACGAATCCACCATAAGGTAATTTTACAGAGCTTCATCTAGTCATATCATTTTTTAACTGAGAAGATGTGATTTAAAATTTGAAAAACTTACGGACATTTATTTGAGTATAGGTGAATGACCGTTGGTATATGTCCGCAAACTTACGGGCTCACGTGAAATATGAACAAGTTGATGCCTTCAATTTGCAAGATGCATGACTCAAATTCACTTGAAATTTTCATTACGAACTATTTGAGCCATGTCATTACTTTTCATGAGGATTATCTTGGCTTTACTGTGATGTTTGATTTTGATCGCCATTTTGGAGGCGGTTTTCTTTGCATTAAGGTAACTCCAGAACTAGGGTGATTAACCTAGCGAGCGTCACTTTCTCTTGCTGTGAGTCGACAGAATTTGACAACCTTTTGTTGAAAATTATATTTATTATGTAGCTAGGATAGTTATGTTCACTATTCTAAAAGAATCATGCACTGGACATGAATGATCTCGTTTATTTTTATGAAGCGAAGCAAGATTGTGGCACTTCACGCCGAACCTTTTATGGTATTGACAACACCCACTCTTAGTAGCTTTTGGTAACCTTTTCCTCTTGTGGTGTCAAATCCTTCGTGATCGTTTGGTAATTCCATATCATTTCGGCGTGAATATTTTCTCTCGTTTAGTCCGGGATATAATAGTGGACAAGAATGTCTTTAGACACCTGTCCGATGCATTTTCGATCAAGCCGGCCGATTTAGCGGGCTTTTGTTCCTGGCTAGTGAACCTAAACCGGCCCAACTTTCATCTATCAAGAAAAATTATCTCGCGGAACTTTGTTTGACACTCACTGACAATTAAAATAAAGCTTTGTGTAGCATTTCGTTACCGTGGCAAGTTGGCTGACTTTCGAAAAAGGTAAACATATTTTAATCCAAAATACTTGATCAACATCAAACACTGCGTTATTTGGAAGCGTGACTGCCGATGTTGGATCTGAAAGATCGAGATTTATCGATCACTTTTGAGAACATAAAAACATTGTAATGTACTCCGAAACGCACTGAACGACTTTATTTAAAAAATGTTCATTTCAAAATACTTTGGTTTAGAGGTAACAAATCCAGTTTGGTGAGGTTCTGTCGACAATTTATTGCAAACCTGATAATATTTTTTCAAACAAAAGAACTGACATATTAGTAAAATCTTTCAAAAAGTTTTATCTGAACCCCCCGCGCTTAATCCTGGATCCGCCTCAGTCCTATTCAAGTTTGTTGGTCAATGCTCTTAAATCTGTGACCCTTGAAGCAAAAGCTACTGAGCAGAATCTTTAACTCCGCAAAAGACGGAGGTAGTTACAGTGTCGGCTCGATCTTGCGTTTTGTGATAGCAATAGTAATATAAAGTTGTTGTATTAAGATACTTAAGAAAAAAGCAACTTGACAAATAAAAAAGCTTATTTTTCAAGAAGAGCATGATAGCAAACCCCACAACTAATTGGTTCTTAGTGGCAACCCTACAATGTGATTGGTTCTTTGTGGCAAACCCTACAATGTGACTGGTTCTTACTGGCAAACCCTACAATGTGATTGGTTCTTGGTGGCAAACCCTACAATCTGATTGGTTATTAGTGGCAAACCCTACAATCTGATTGGTTATTAGTGGCAAACCCTACAATCTGATTGGTTCTTAGCAGCAAACGCTACAATCTGATTGGTCCTTGGTAGCAATCTCTACAATCTGATTGGTTCTTTCCTCCCTATTTACGCGCACAGTCAAACGCCCCAATGTTATCTTCATTTACTTTACTAGCGCACAAGTGAATGCTAGTAAATCATAATGAATTTTTTATAGTTTGTTCAGCGCTTAAGGGTGTCCACTCATTATCTATTGCATCTCTTGCTGTACAACTTGAATTTTGATGAGCCAATTTCTAAGGAATCATCGTTAGATTTTTTTTTTTGGTAGAAGAGGATCTGAAGTACTCTTTGGGAAATTATCGAATGAATCTGCCCTTTTTCACCTCCTATGGTGTAAAAGAAGCTTAACTGTGTTCATTTGTTTACCAAATACTATATTTGTGATAAATAGTTTGGTTCATCCGATGGAGGAAGTATGTGATCATTTATTATCATTGATCATTAAAACAATATTTGGCAATATAATTATATACTGAAGAGCATAATAAGAAAATAAGCCTCAGAGTGCGGGGAAAGAAGTAGTTTAGGATCAGCACTGTATCCGCTGTAATAAAAAAATGTTCTGTTTTCTCAGACCAGTGTTGGTCAGCTTGTTCTAGCAATTCGTTTTTGTGTTTCTTTTTTTTGTTCCATTCTCATTTCCTTTTAGGAAATTTCCAACGAGAATTTACTTGTTTTCTTATCTTTTGTAAATAGAACCCTCCTTCAGTTTACCAAAGGAAATAATTTCATCCATTGTATCATTTCGTTGTTATTTCAGGATTTCATGTTATCCTTTATTGTTATAAAACTATTTCATAATTTGTATTTGCAAGTCAGTTCTCAAGTTTTATTCAAACCAAACCTTTCTATTTACAAAATGCATTGAACTACACATTCTATTTCTTCATTTTCCTACTTTTCCCCATGGACAAAGGCGTCACCTCTCCTTGCCGGTTGAAAGTCAACATCTGTGGGTCCCCTAGGCATGTCGTTTTGTATATAAAGTTATCATGGTTTATCCCCAGAGTAATAAAATTTAGTTGTAAGAATATCTAAAATGCGATGTAGCCCTGACTAATAAATTGTCTAAAAAAGGAACTATTTAAATTTTCTTCGGCGCTTTAAGATCGCTTAATCTTGTAATTCTCTCACTGTACACTTGAACGAAATCACCAACAATATGTAGAGTTCTTGTAAAATGTAAACCGACTCAGTGAAACACAGTTGCGTTCACGAAGATCTTTTACAAGATGGGAATTGAGGACCTTTGAGTTTTTTTAGCCGGGGTGGGGTCGGAGGAATTTTTTGGGGTGATCACACGGGGGATTATAGGGGAGATTAGTCGTCGCCAACGGAGTTTAAAGAGGCAACTATAGATATTAGCTTCTAATGAATTGTTAATGAGAGGCGGGTGGGGGTGGATTAGAAGAATATTACATTATTACTGAGCCTTATCAGGAAAATTTTATCGTGACATAACCAGAGTCCTTTGAGACCCCTCTCCCCTCCCCGCCAGGCGATCAATAATGACCAGAGTCCTTTGAGACCCATCTCTCCTCCCCGCCAGGCGATCAATAATGACAAGTGTCCTCTGAGACCCCTCTCCCCGCCAGGCGATCAATAATGACCAGAGTCCTCTGTGACCCTCTCTCCTCCCCGCCAGGCGATCAATAATGACCAGAGTCCTCTGTGACCCTCTCTCCTCCCCGCCAGGCGATCAATAATGACCAGAGTCCTCTGTGACCCTCTCTCCTCCCCACCAGGCGATCAATAATGACCAGAGTCTTCTGTGACCCTCTCTCCTCCCCGCCAGGCGATCAATAATGACCAGAGTCCTCATTGACCCCTCTCTCCTCCCCGCCAGGCGATCAATAATGACTAGAGTCCTCTGAGACCCATCTCCCTTCCCCGCCAGGTGATCAATAATGACCAGAGTCCTCTTAGACCCCCCTCTCCTCCCCGCCAGGCGATCAATAATGACCAGAGTCCTCTGAGACCCCTCTCCCCTCCCAGCCAGGCGATCAATAATGACCAGAGTCCTCTGAGACCCCCTCTCCTCCCCGCCAGGCGATCAATAATGACCAGAGTCCTCTGAGACCCCTCTCCCCACCCAGCCAGGCGATCAATAATGACCAGAGTCCTCTGAGACCCCTCTCCCCTCTTCCCTCTCCGCTAGGCGATCGATAATGACCAGAGTCCTCTGAGACCCCTCTCTTCTCCCTGCCAGGCGATCAATAACGACCAGAGTCCTCTGAGATCCCTCTTCCCTTCCCGCAAGGCGATCAATAATGACCAGAGTCCTCTGAGACCCCTCTTCCCTCCCCGCCAGGCGATCAATAATGACCAGAGTCCTCTGAGACCCCTCTCTTCTCCCAGCCAGGCGATCAATAATGACCAGAGTCCTCTGAGACCCCTCTCCCCTCCCCGCCAGGCGATCAATAATGACCAGAGCCTTCTTAGACCCCTCTCCCCTTCCCGCCAGGCGATCACTAATGGCCAGAGTCCCTTGGCTTCAGTCAATGAACATATTATGAAGGCAAAAGATGCGTCAGTACGATTTGATTTATCAGAGAAGGATATAAGCACATTATTAACCGGCCTTAGTCGGTCCGTAGTGGTAGTAAACGTTTCGCCGGTTAGGGCTTTATCGTATATATAAATATATTCAGATAAGAGGAACTTTTTGATCAGTAGGACGAATTATCTCTTTTGGAGCTTTTAAACTCTTGCGCAAGGGTAGGAATATCGTAAAGATTATGAGGAGGATATGGATAATCGCCGTGGATAATCTCCCGTGGAGGAGCACAAAATTTCAAGCCTTGAGAACAACTAGGGCGTGATCTTCGCTTTAACCCTTACGAAGACCTCCTCTTAGAGCCGATAAGTTACTGTTATAAGTGCCTTGTTTCCAGTTAATTAAAATGTATTGCAAAAAATCATTAGCTCCGTGCTAATCTACCTCCAACAATTAAAAGAAGAATGACGGTGTTTCTTCCTATGCGGCCCTTAAATATTTTTTGTATTTTAGGTGAATGGCCAGGCTGCCGTAAGGACAGTGCAATCCCTTCCGAACAACAAGTCTGATCCAATCCATGGCTAAAGTACAATGCCTTAGGCGACCCTTAGATAAACATACACCAAAGTGAGATCCAAGTCAGTTATTTTGCACCCTTTACCAAACTTAATGGGCCATTAACACACTCTACTCAACCAGTGAGATAATGTATTTCGTATAGTGCTCTCACATTTAACATTAGCAATGTTCTAAACTCTCTTTTACGAGAAATTGGACGCCTCAGAGTGACCAGCATCTAATTTCTCCTTACAATATCACCCCTGAACAGACGTAAAGGTCATGAGAATAAAGGAAGTGATCACCAGCAAAAAAAATTTTTTTTCTGTTAAAAAAATTCTTCGTGTCAGCACCTTAGGAAATGTATAGAGAATGGTATAGAGATTGTGGGTTCTGATGTTAGGATATAAAGGGTTAAGCTTAAGTTGAGCGGTAAGTCATTTAAAAATGTTTGATTCACTCTTTGTCAAGTGTGACAGTGTTAAACAAGGTGAGAATATTTGTTTTTCCTATTTTAGAAACGGATGATTTAAAGTGAACGAAACACGGGTACTTTCCCTCTTTCAAGCCTCGCCAAAGAATTATGGATAGCGAAACACCTCTAACGAACCAAGTCTGAGACAGTACCATCGATAGACAGAGTAGCATACACTATCAAGATTGCCAAAATTGGGTTGAAAACAGTACATCTGCCATCAAACTGACTTTTTAATGGAGACTTCTCTCACTGTTTTAGCAATCCGTTATGATTTTATCTATACATCGACAGGCAATCTTGCCCTTGCAACTGAAGGTCTCTTCAAATGCCCGATTCGCTTTTGTTTGTACAAAAATTAGAGGCTTCAGCAGATGTTGGTTCCTTGCTTACGTGGAAAAATGGGAACGTTATAGATACGCTGGAATAGCTCAACAACTGCGAACGCTGTAATTCTTACGGCGGTGAAGGAGCCTGGAATAAAATTTCAAGGTACTTGATGTTAGTATAATCGACAAAGCTGGCCAAGATGGTTTTACATTCAGCCCTTATGCAATCGACTGAAGCAGAACATCCAGCCGGGAATATGGCGGAAAAGCATTCGTAAGGAGAGGTATGCGAAACCCAGATTGTTGCTTTGTAAATTGGATTTATTATTAGCACTGATTGATGTTTTACGGCTTTTGCTAGGGTCTGTTAAAGTACTAAGGTGAAGCATACTCTTGTTGTTGCCAATGCCTTTTCAAAAAGACTTTCAGGGTTGAAAATGAAAAATACAGAGGTTGATTACACCACCTAAGTGATATCGAATTTATGAAATTAAGGTACCACATTCTTCTTCGTCCAAAATTTTCTAAAACTTGCTAATTGTTTACACAAGGATCCAATTGTATCCGGTTCGGACACAGTGAAGCCATTGTTTCGATTCACAGGAAACCTCTGTTCTTCTTACACTGTAGGACACAAAGGGTCACTGAGTCATCTGCGAAATCCGGAGCAGTGCTTGCATATGCTACCAGACCTTCTGACCATCTTGATGGCTACAAAGGTGTAACCTCTGTAGATTGATGAAGATGATAAATATGGCGAAAAGTGGACTGCAGTAAGTTTACTTCAGCATTGCACACTGGCCGTAGTTTTTATGTAGAACAGTACAGCCATTTTCTCCCTTCATTTCAGTGAGGCTGAAGTGGTCCTTTTTTCTCTTTTCGCGCCTTCAATAGTCATTGGCTTGAAGTTAAAACAAATGCATTTAACATTCTCATTAATACTCCACCCCCATTTTAATGAGGCTCAAATAACGCATTTTTTTTTCTGTACCATCCCTCAGATGCCCTTCATTTCTGCTATCAGAGGATTATGGTCGTAATCCTTCCTGCTCTCACACGCTCACCGCTAAGCTCTGATTGAGGAAGAGATATCTAGCCAAAGGCTAATCACGGATCTCTGCGAACTGTTTTAGCTAACTTAAGAAGACTTGCGTTGTTGTGGCGTTTGGGTGTGGTGGAGATAAAAGAGGTTTGCCGATTTTCATTATCTTTGTATAGTGAATATATGCATGGAAGTTGAATGTGACTAGCTTTTAAAGGAATCTTACCCGCAACTGTAGTATTTTTAACGGCGCATCCGAATCATGGCGTTGAAAGATATTACAGCACTAATACCTTACTTCTCCAAGTTACAGCTAAATTGGCGACCGCCTCAATAGTACTTTCCGATTGCTAAAAACCCTCACTTTCAAAACGAGGCCAAGTGCAAAACCATTCTTGTGAAAATGAGATCTGCTTGCATCAAAAGGAAAATCAGCTTTACATCATAGGCCTTTCACTTACCCTCGTTTGAAAGCAGTGTCTTTGTGCATCTTGAAGATGGCCTATTGTATGCAAGATTATCTGCCTAGGCTGTGCGATGAGAGTGCTGATAGACTTCCCATAAGTGGCGTGCCTAATTTGCTACTTTCTGGCCTCGACATCGTGTTTAAAAACAATAGAATTTCCTCTCAAAGCGAGGACAAGAAGGCTAGTCAATTTGCATGCACACAAAAGAGTGACAGTCGTATCTGCCAATCTGACAAGTTTATAAGAGACGCACAGAAATTGAAAGAAAATAACTAATGCGGCATACTTGCATATTGCAAATCAGGTATACATTTTGCCAACATAGTTTGCACAATCGTGTAGACAATACTGCCTTCATCCATCCCAGATACGCGGCAAAATTTCGCCTGGCAGGCTGCTTTCCGCACCATAACCAAGATAACCTCAAAACTTCTCGTGACAAATTTATTCTGTCTACCGTCTGGCTGAGATTGTCTTGAATGTGACACGAGGTACCTACAATAAACCTGGGACATCCCTCTGAAAGGTCAAACTCCAACTGTTAGGTTGAAACAGCCCAAATTTTTACGTCGATTTGTTCTCATGTGAGGTGCGTTCCGTTGTTGCTTCGTCCAAGCAAGAATCGATCAATCCTTTTTTTTTCAATGAAAGGACGCAATGGGGCGAAAGTAAACAAAGTCAATTCGAAAATAACCACCAGCTTAAGGTAGTTCAAATAGACGCTAAAAATAATGAGAGTACAAGTGACGGGTCATCTGATAACAAAGCCACAGCGGAAACGGAGACAGCCCGGCATGCAAGCTAAGGACATCAAAGCAATCAGCGATAAACGTGATCCTTGTAAGCTCGAAATTAAAGGGTTGATTATGCGGCACAAACTTTAACAGACTCCCGTCGACAGTAATAAATCTTCGTTGGAGTGACGGGGGGGGGGGGTTTGAATAGGATAAGAAGGGAGGGGACGTGTACGTAATCTAAAGCTCATCCCTTACTAAAGCTTCAATTTATGCTGAGAAAGGCGGTAAAATATTTCGTATTTGTCGCCCAAGTTACAAAGTCTACAGGAAGGCTGCTGTGTCTGTATTTCTCGATTGGCCTCTTCGTAAGGCCCGCTTTCGTTTGATTACATCAAAAACAGGGGCATGTAGCCATTTAAAATGACTCTTGCTGTTTGTTACTTACAACAAGTTATACAAGACAACGATACCAAACCAAAACACCAACAGGAAAGCCACATTTTTATCTTAATAGAGCACTGGCCTCTCTGATACCAGGACTTATCTATTTAATCAAATTTTTTTTTTGGCTGGCGAGTCCGAGAACTGAAAGAATGATAGACATCGGGTGATTCTCCTCGTCAACCCCAGAGAAGGGGAAAAATTGAAAAGTTTTATGGTAAAACTTCGCCTTGATTGAGATTTTAAGACTACAGTAGTTATACTGGACGTTTGACATGTATTCAGTTCCCAGGTCTTCTTGTCGTTTCAGTTTGTTTACTTCTTATTACTTCTCCAGATGATATTCCGTGATCAAGATAATAGACCCCATTAACTGCACGGCCAGCTTTCTGCTAATTTTATCTTTTATTACATAAATTCTGATCGTCTTTGAGACACTTAAATTGTTTTACCCATGCAAATACCTCAAAGGCAGTTTTCCATACCTCCCAGTGCTCCTCAGCACTGGAATTCTCTTTCATTTCAGGCTTTAACTCTGCACAGTAAAAGTTACCCTTACTTTCAAATCATCACTGCATAGAAAACTTCACTGGGAGTACCCACCGAAGGACCACCGTGGACAATTTAGTCTTCGCAAATCTTAGCTGCTTTTGCAATTTAACCAGCCAAAGAGGGTAAAAAGGACTCCGAACTAGCCTTCTCTCCCCACCACCCAATCAAAACCATGGTAACATCAAATTCCCCTCCTAATTTCCTTGGATTTTTTCCAGCAACCGATGAAACTTGCATTCACGCGATCTCGACTGCCAACATTGCAGATCCGATTTGAATTTTTTACAAGTGGTCACGATGATCCGATTTCATAGACTGAATTTACGTAAACACGACCAGAGCTCGATTGAGGCACCGTGAACTCCCGAAAGATGTTAAGCCAACATGCCGTTGTTTACCATTGACTAATTATTCAGGCTGGTTATTTTTATACTGTCGGTGCCTGTTTAGAAACCTTTGAAGTGGTTCCGCCTCATTGCAATTGGACATTAGCCATCTCACTCAGGCAGACAGACACCCACGCTGGTCAACCGAGAGCTTGATTCACGGCGCTTACAGGGAAATTCTTATGTCCGGAAGGTTCTCGCGCTTCAAATTCCACCGCATAATTGTGATAACCTCTGCAATTCGGCTTGATGTTCCTTGAGCAATTTCTGACCAGATGAAGGCTTAGAATTGCTTACATTCCAACTTAAAGTGTCCGGTTACACATTAATTGTATTGCTTCATTCTTGGCATATTTCCACTTTGTTGTTTGTTCCATTCGAACGGCCTCAGAGGGGTCAATCAAATAAGTTCAAACCGTCCATACGCCGTTTAATTGATGACATTGCTACAAAATGTTGCTCAAGGTCGCGTCAATCCAGTTCGCCGACTAATGCGATTTAGTTTAAAAATATAGTTCCCGCCTTTGTATACGTAAAAAAATCACGCACCCATCGGAATTTCAACGTTAGAAATTCTCATCGTAGGAAAAAATGCCCCTTTTAAAAAACGGACTGCTCTTTTTATCACATTTACTTCCTTTCTTAATAGCTGTCGATTTAGTTATTGAAAACGCTTAGTTCAGAATTTGACTCAAGTCATTACGCTGTTTATTGTACTACCTGAATATTTCCTTGCTGAAGTCACGGGATTTTTATGCGAAGAATTTTCGTACACTGGACATGTGACTTCCCCTTCAAAACGACTCTTTGAATCGAATCTTTCTGTCCCTCAGTCGGGATAAATTGATTCAATTTGGTTAATCCAAACTATTTTTCATGCACTAGTGCGTGATTGTTATTTTTTTAAAATTATTAAGTCCTTGAAGGATTGTAGCTGTGATCAAAGCACCTTCATTGCAACTATTTAATTCATGTTTCTCTTAAGTCACAGATCTGTACTTCATTATCACTCATCAAACAAAGAGCACTAACTAATATTGGTTTGTATTTCAAAAAGCACCTAACCGTAAACGTGTTTACATGTCAAAAATATAAAGAGTACAAGTTTTCCCCTTATAAACGTTAATTTGAAAGAAACACCCTCAGGAAAAAGATCGTCACTTTACTACAGCAATATAAAGCGCGCTTTTAATTTCAATGAAATCGATCACACCATGTTTTCCACTTCAAAGAGCACGTGTTTTCGGTGGGACCTTGCGCATGCCCACTGATTGCGCGAGGTAAGTTTAACAACGAAGAGTATAAACCGCCTAGAACGAGCTACGCTAAGCTGACATACAGTAGGCAATTCCAGTGACTGCCGCCAGATTTTGCTGTGATTCTACGCCAGGTAGACATCTTGTAAAGGTAAATAATAATGTGTAGTGGCATTCCACTAGGGCGGTCGTGCCAATAACATATTGCGTGAGTTCTTGATATGGTTTCTTTTTTCGGCTCGCTTCATGCAAACTACGGTAAGGTGCAAAAACACACCTTGGCATTAAAACTCTGATTCCTCCCTTTTTTCTTGGGAAGATTTCGCATCTTTTAGCCTATATCGGCAACACTGAATGAGGTGTTCAAATTTAAACATCACTAGAGTAACGAGGTTTACCCATACACACACCTCTCGTTCTCCGATGAAGGTTACGATTCGGAAAATGTCGTTTGTTTTGATCCATTTCCAACAAAGCACTCTTAGGCACGCGTTTGATAAATGCCGCAGAGATGGGCTTCCGAATTGCTTGAATTGCGTGCGGCTCGTGAAAGGCATCAAGCATTGTTTGGAAAAGGAAACAAATTAGTGCAATCACAAGGCTGTTAAAAAATATATATTTTTAGTGTTTTGAAATGGTCTTACACGTTTGTATAGAAGGTGTTGTAAATCGGCTAGTTTCCTCTTTACGTTTAGTGACGTTTTAAGTCGCTCAAATCTCTGCTTAAAGGTTGCATGCACTGAACTGCACTGATTCAACTGAGCATACAACGGAAAGCGTAACAAGGGACAATCAATTTATTCACTTAGATGTTAACTTTGTTACCACTCATAGCGTGACTACCATTGTTCATAGCGTCCGCTCAATATTACTGATTTTTGCGCGCGAAACTTATGGAGATTCTGTTGACCAAAGAAGCCCTTTCTTCATTCGCGACTAACAGTATGTGTTCTTGTAAGCACTGAGCCATTTTCCGGGATGAGTGTCGTGTTTATGTCGGACAGAAGACACTACTTATGGTAACCAAATATGATTAGAATGCAGCTACATGCAAAAACAAATATGTTAACCTGAGTGGCTCTTCAGAGTTTCGTCGGTCATGAATACTCAGTCTACGGCCAGCCAAAAATACAAAGCACTTTTTATGCATCACCTTCTCTCTCTAAAGAGCCTTGTTGGAGTTTGTTTAGGTAAATTTGGCGGAAACGCTAAGCTAACTCTCTCAGGTCACGGTTATTTGGTTTCGCTCCTTTGTTCTGTCTGTACTCCGAAGACCACGCGACGGCCAAGTCTCGGTGCAAACGATGT